ACAAGAAATAAAAAACTGAAAAAAATGCTAGAAACAACTTTTCTCCTTATTTTCTATAACGTAACTCGGAGAAATGAAACATGTCTGGAACAGTCGGAGTGAACGTCTCCGTGAAAAAGGGATACTCCCCGTGGTGAGGGGGCTGGAGGTCACCATTTGTAAAATGGACAGGGACGACGTGGATGGCCAAATACATTCATTGCCCAAAGAAGGAAACGAGTTTGATGCCCGACAGCGAAACACAGCTGTCAGAGTTCCTCCGTTTCAGGATGCAATGAGGTCTAAAAAAACAAGAAAAAGGGAAGGCACTGCAGTTGAGAAATGTACCCTACCCTCGGTAGGGTAGTTTTCTCAATGGAAAATGGCTTCCCGCCCAAACCAAAAGGGCCAATGCATACTACAAAACGGATTTCATGACAAAAAAAACTTCTTCAAAATGACTTAATCTAATAGGTTATTCTCCTGTCTTTTGGTACCGTTAGATTCGCAATACATCAACGACAGAGCTCCGTCCCACCATGCCACACGTGATAGAAAGCTCAGCGTTGAGAAAACTCAACGCTGTAGGTGGGACTAGACCCCTGGACCATCGTCCCACTAGCAACTGGATATGATAGAAAAAAGTTTGTGTGGCAGTTGAGTGAGCCAAATCCTGCCGTGCAACCCTCGTGATCCCACAGTCAGTATTTATTTTACATGTATTACCCGAAAAAGTAAGGAGATATTGGTTCCCCTCCTCCTCTCCTTAAACCACCAGTACCTGGCCCAACTATCGGCCGCGGGCCTTCCCCTATACACGCTGCAGCCTTAGGGGGGTCGGCCAAGGGAAGGCCCGGTTGCTGCTAGAAGGCCGGGCCCCGGTACTGTCGCAATGACACAAATAGTATTTCGAACGAAAACAAAAAAAAAAATGAAATACAAAAACAAAGAAAACACAAAAAAGAATGGGACTTTTGGAAGATCTCTTAGGAATGGGAGTGGATGGGACGCTGGACCCGGTTAACAGTTTAAGCCTATGCTGGGTAATGGCCCCAGCCCTCTCTCCGGGTTGTTTGCTGAGGGATATTCCCGACCTCATCCTCGGTTTATAATGGAATTTGAGTTCTTCCGCGAAAAAAAAAAAAAAAAAAAAAAAAAAAAAAAAAAAAAAAAAAAAAAAAAAAAAAAAAAAAA